ATTTTTCTTACAGAGTATTACATTATATTATATAATATATATTACACTTATTTGTGAGGACTCTGACCTGATGGGAGCACAGCCCCCTGCGCCTCTCCTTCCCCCATGTCCTCCACCTTGGAGGAGGTTTCCTACCTTAGAATCCTGATGTATGAGGTTCTTTTTCATATTCACAGAAGGAGCCATCCTGTGTAAACAGAGCAGCATGGCTTTGCAGGTTAATCATATTTTCTACTGGGAACTGTGACATTTATTACCATTTACTTTCTTGTTTTTATGTATCTAGTACAGGGTCTACAGGTTTTCACTACACAGATCAGACTTGTAGTGATTCTCCTGTTACCAGCCTCCCAACCCTGTGATTATAGGCGTGTGCTACCACGTCCAGCCTCAGTCACTGTCTACCAGGCCTCGGGGGCGAGGCCCGTGTGGAATGCTGGGATCAAGCCCCAGTCCCTGCTTCTGTCTAAGCAGGTGCTTTAGTCTGCCGAGCTATGTGGCTGGCCCTTACCATTTACTTTCTTAGATACTTCAAACCTGTGTGTTTGCTCCTTAGTCATACCAAGTGATGTTTCGATCTGTCTTAAACCTATCTCTTCTCTTTGATCCCCTTCACTGGCCTCCTAGCTGGAATACCGACTAAACCCATGAAATTGCTAAGGAACAAAGGTCAGTCAAGGGATCTGGGAGGGGGATGGGGTCTGGGGACATTCCCAGGGCTGTTGTAGTGGGGCACTCTGGGGACACACAATGACAACAGCTTTCTGCACATTACTGGAGGGTGCCTGTGTGGGTGGCTAGGTGAGTAATGCTGCAGACCAGGAGGCAGCACAGCTGTATGGGCTGCAATGTCATAGGCACAAACCACAGTGGAGATGAAGATCAGGCTCCCTTTGGGGTTCACAGAATGCATAGCCACAGGGCCTGCTGTGCTCTCTGGCTGCTTCTGTGCTCTTGGCTTTTTCCCCGGGGTCCTCCTGGGATTTCCTGAGACCCTTGACTTAGAGTCCTCCAAGCCAGAAAGCCATTTCTCACAGGGTTGCTGTTTTTGCTACCTCAGATGTTTCTCTTTGTCTCTCTGTCTCTGTCTCTGTCTCTGTCTCTGTCTCTATCTCTGTCTCTGTCTTCCCTCTCTGCCTGTCTGTCTCTGTCTGTCTGCCTTTCTCTGCCTGCCTGTCTGTCTCTGTCTGCCTTTCTCTGCCTGTCTGTCTCTGTCTGTCTGCCTTTCTCTGCCTGTCTGTCTCTGTCTGTCTTTCTTTGTCCATCTGTCTATCTTTCTCTGTCTGTCTGTCTGTCTGTCTTTCTCTGCCTGTCT